TTTTCGATTTTCGAAATGAAAAAGTTCAATTTTTTTAAACGAGGATGCGAAAATTAATAAACGAGTTGACAATGATTTTCTAATTTTCTAATTAAACGCATCATGTTGCCTCGTATAATACGATGGTTTATTTAAACACCACGGATATATTTCGCGAAGAGACAAATTGGAGAATAATGGTTCGGACGATATAAAATTATCTAGACTATCGCAACGTATAATTACCGTTTCTATTTAACGCAGGAGGTTGTGATTAAGTACGGTGGTTTAGTAAATTGCGTGACTCGTTCTCCTTTAATACGTCTTTTCCTTTAACGAAGTACGTATTTTATATTCCGTCACGTCCTATATTCTCTTCAAATCCGTTAAAACGTAATTACGTATAATAAAAGTTGCATTGTAACCTCTCGAGGTCGTCATCATCAAGCTGTTTCCTGTAACGCTGCGCTATAACGTGTAATACAATTCCATTGGACTTTTCACCTTCTCTCTATCCCCGTTTTCTTTCCAATTTTCAAATCGAATTTAAACAAATTAATAAAAGAAGAAAAAGAAAGAAAGAAAGAAGAAGGAAGAACAAAAATTAATTTTCTTCCCCCATTACAAAAAATTCTTCATTCAAAATATTTTGAAAAAACGAAAAAATCGAAAAACCTTTACCTTTATAAATTTTCCACCTCCGGTATCCCCCTCCCCCTGCCCCCCAACTATCGTTCCTAGAAAGACTTCCCACCGCGTTCAAATTAAAAATCGCCGCGAAAATTACGATCGTTCGAAGCGATAAACGATCTCTGGCCAACACATTACCGAGGCTTGATGCATACGAATTCCACGTGTGATGATGCCGCGTGAAAAGAGAGAGAGAGAGGGTGAGAGGAGGGACGAGGATGGAACGCGAGTTCGGAACACGCGGAGAAAAGAACGGACGTCTGTCGCTGGTGTTGCTTGTCGTAAATTGGCGCTCGCTATGCCGTCTAAATGATCGTAACTAACGCGACACGAACTAACGTTACGGAGAGGGAGAAGGAAAAGAGAGAGAGAGAGAGAGAGAGAGAGAGAGAAGAAGGCACAGCGCGACTCGTTTCCTGCTTTACGCATCGAGGATTGATTTACGCTCGTATTAATTTAAGGAGGGCCGGTTCGGCGACGAAACGCGCGTATCTCAAAGGAATTCCTATTAAATTGAAAATGATTCATAGAAGCAGCGTGGCGGTCTCGTTCGTAGCCTGTTAAACGGTTTCGTTTGATGCGGGGACGCGATTCGACGATTGGTATCGCGCGGATTTGCTGCGCGGAGCTGGAAGCAATTTTGGGAGGATGGCCCGAATTTTTTTTTTTTTTTTTAGCAATTTAATTTAGAGAGAGAAGATCGACGATTCGAGAGAAAATAAGGGAAAATGTAAATAAGAATTCTTGGTAAAATCGAAGGAAAATCTTACACGATTATAATTGTATACCGAGTTAAAAAATAAACGTCGGTTTGATTAATCATGGATAAGTACTATGATTTTCCGAGTATTTATCCAGAGGAAGATTTATTACTATCCCCGTGGCAATATTTCAAGCCCGTTTTCTCGCTCGTATAATCCACTGATCGCCTTTCTAGATTTGTTTCTCCTTCCTTTCGGGATAACTTTTTCAATATAATATCCCTTTGTCGACCGTAGGATTGTTGTTTCTCGTCACTCGGTGATTAATTCTCTTCTTTATTATCACAAACTCGTGAAAACGTGATTTACTTGCATATTTAAACAATTTTGTATCGCATGAAAACTTGTTCATCGTTCCAATACGAAACATAGTTGCGACATTCTCTGTACAGCTCGCATTATACGCAACGTCACGAAAAACGCGTGTGCGACGTGATCTTGTCGTCAAAGGGTTAATCAAAAGCCAACACTGGAGCGAGTCCGCTCACGCTTATCTGGAGGCAAAAATTAAGAACGGGATTTAAGACTGCGCGCGTTAACCTGGCTCGCGCGTGTTACCCGTCCTCTTTTTACCTGCTTATCTAGCGGTCGTGGTTACGACGCCTCGATACGTTATCCGGCCGATCCGTTCCACTTGCTGCGACTTACGATTATCCGGAACCGGGTCGATCTTGATGCCATTCTCTTCGTTAACCCTTTCAGCCTCCGAACACTTTGGACAAAGCGAAATCGAGGAAACGTTTTATCGATGAATTGTAGAGAGAGAGAGACATTGGCAAATGGTGATTTGTTCAGGAATCAGGAATTGTTCTTTTGAATCCATCGTATTGAAAATAATTAAGATGAATAAAAAGAGTGAAAGGTATTTTTAATTTCTTTCCGTCCATTTTTCGTGTTTTAATCGATGGACGCGATTTTTTGAACGAAACGCGAAATAGAGGAAACGTTTTATCGATGAATTGCAGAGAGAGAAATGTTGGCAAATAATTCTAGGTTTGTTCAGAATCTCTTGAATCCATGGTATTGAAAATAATTAAGATGGATAAAATAAGTGAAAGGTAAAATTTCTTTCCGTTCATTTTTCGTGTTTTAATCGATGGACGCGATTTTTTGAACGAAATAGAGGAAACGTTTTATCGATGAATTGTAGAGAGAGAGACATTGGCAAATGGTGATTTGTTCAGGATCTCTTGAATCCATGGTATTGAAAATAATTAAGATGGATAAAACGAATAAAAAAGTAAAATTTCTTTCCATCCACTTTTTTCGTTTTAATCGATGTGATTCTTCGAAGTTGATCGATTGTTTATGGATTATATGCGCGTATCGTGGCATTAAACGAGTCTAAATTGAAGCGTTGACGCAGAATAAACACCGAGGATTTATCTACTATCTTCTTCATTAGTTGGTACCGGCCATCACACCAGGAACGAGAGTAAATAACTTAGCTTATCTCGATAATGCGAACTAAACACGTAGCGCGTGTAATGTCGTTGCTTTGTAACGATATGCCAGAAACATCGCACAAGTTTGTCGTACATGCATACGCTAGATCTTGTCGTATGCAGTTTTCACGGGGCGCGCTTGAAATGATAACTCTTCCCTTCGAATATAACATGGTACGTGTTCCCATGATAAATTGCGCGCGTTGTCGCAGACACGTATGAAAGACTATTCTTTCTTCCATTTTCTCAGAACCTTTTTACATTTTATACTCGTGATAATTCTAATGATCGTATCCCTTGGAAATTGTTTCCTTTCAAAATCATCTTCTAATAAAAACACCTCGTCTCATTTCTATTCACCTATGAATAATCCATTTCCATTTTACTCTAATAATACTGGAATAATATTATTTGGTCAATTTCACCTAAAGAGAAAACCTATCGAAATCAAATATCATTCAAAGTTCAAATTGTATTCTTTTCGTCTTTTACCTCGGGAAGCGTTACAACATCCACCCCTAATTTCGCGCCACAAGATTTATACTCGACTCCAGTCGGTGAATATCTCCGACCCAAAGGATCTCCGGCATCTCTGGTCCACTCTAGAAATTCTCGTGTAATATCCAACGATGAAATGAGATAGAGAGAGGGAGAGATAGAGAGAGAGAGAGAGAGAGAGAGAGAGAGAGAGATCGAGGGAAGCTCGCAGTCGAAAGTCACTTATCTCCTCGCCGAATAACATTCCCTCCTCTTATCTACGCCTCGGTCTAACAACCGAGCAGGACACGCTTTGCTCGTGAACTATTAAACTTCGTTATGACCTTGCCGGTGCTTCCAACGTCGCTTTATGCGCCTCGTAAAATTTATCTGGATCCGTGGCTAGCGCGGATTTCGAATTCGACCCTTGTTTACCGCTCTCTAAACGCTTGCTTTCAAGAATAGCGACAACTTCTTCCCCTCCTCCCCCGTTTCTCCTCACTTCACCCGACTTCTCGTGTCGCCGTTCGAAGAGATTTCGTTGGAAATGCGAGATAGTAAAAAAAAAAAAGGAGCGTGATAAAGGGGATGATTTTTATTATAGAGGGACGTATATTCCTGTCTACAATATCGTTACGGCTCTTCCTGGGAAAAATTTTGATTAGAGTGGTTGTTGCCAAAGTGTCGTTGAATTGCGAAATGCCGGTAATTATTATTATTATTCTCGTTATCGATTCGCTTATCTCGCGATGATACGATTTCTTAGGGTCGATGAAGAGACAATAGGATTTACCAGATGAAAATCTCACCAGATGGATGAGACGTCGAGATGATGAATAGAATTTCTTGTAATGCAAAATAAAAAGTGTTAAAGAACAAGATCGATTGGAATTCGTAATAAGATTTCGTAGTAATAAAAGTTCGTCGTGTCCTCGATGAGAATAAGGATACGGGGATAGATTCGCTCGTTTTGGTCTGGCAAAGAAATTATAATTGGAGCACATTGCGCTTAAATAAGGCGACGGAGCATATCCGCGTATACACGGAGGAAATTTCCCACGAGCGCATTTCATTATCGTATCACCGTGTTGTTGTTGGCTCGGAAAGCTAAGAGCTGGAGAGCTAGTTTTTATTCTAATTAAAGTTGATATTTATTCTTGAGAGCGGTATATAAAATGTTGTTTACGTCGCGTTCGCAAGTAGGCTTCGAAGAGCGTTTGATCTTTTTAGGAACGAGCGCGATTTACAAGTTGCAAATACCGCATTGTCCTCTTATCTTATTTCCCAGAGGGATAAAAGCGGAGGTGCATCGCTAAAATAGCTCGTACGTACGTCCCCTCTGGTTTTACGTAATCTTCCGTTTCAATTACACAGATTTAATTTCGCGGTGCATCATCCGTTTAAAATGTTTATCATTTTAAATAAAAACAGCCGCACTTTCCATAACTTTGTATAAAAATCCAAAGAAGGAAAGGAAGAGGAAAAAATTTTCTCACGGAGAAAAATATAAATCCAATTCGCTCCATCCTCTAACTTCGACGTTTCGTTAGTTAGGAACGAAAAAACTTACCGCGTCACTTTCCCTTTCCACAACAATCTTCATCTGAAACAAAGGGCATGAAGCGTCAATTAATCACACTGCGATCGATTTAATCCTTATTCATCCTTTATTATGTACACAACTTCTCGTACGCTACGCGAATGTTCTCAGATCGGCGAAAACCACTCTCATCCTCCTCTTAAGTTCGTTCGAGTACCTCAACGCGGACTCGTCGATCCTAACGTCCTCCATCAAAGCGTCACAGTCCAAATGCGTCTCGTCGCAGGCCCTGTGATGATGCTTCAAAACGTCGCCCGGATCGAAATGGTGCGCCCGCCTCGTGGACGGGTTCAACGCGGTCAACGCGTAATGATTGTGCACCGTCAACGCGCGCCTGGTCGAGACGAAACTCTTCACCGAGTCGCCCTCAGGCGAGATGCAGGCCGTCCTCACCGTGTCCAGATAATCGAAATCGGTGAGAATATCGGTGGAATTGTCCCCGCCACCGTCGTCGCTCCTGTTCGTCCTCGTCTGCAGCTCGGGGAAAAAGTATGCGTTTCTCACCGCGTAAGACGCGAAATCCTTGAATCCCCTCCCAAGCTTGATCCTCTCGTCGAGCAACAACTCGTGCCAGCTCTTCCTCCTGGACGGGACGATCGCCTCGTCGATGTCGATGGGCACCACGAATTCGGATCGATGAAGATTGTCGTAGAAGCAATGATTGTACGGTATCAGCTCCATGCGCCTCTTGATCCAGATATTCTCGGAGAGGAACCGCCTCCTCGAGATCCTCTCGTTCGGCAGGTCACCGGGAAGCGTGAGATTGAACCATCTGATCACGTTCGACCGCTCGTACAGCCTCAACACCCTCAACACGTTCTCGTGAACGTTGAACACGTAGAAGTAGAAGAGTTCGGCGCCAAGTATGCGGTGGAGCTCGACGAAAGCGACGATTTTCCTCGAGATATCCTCGTCGAAGTCCAAACCCTTGATGCACAGGGTGAATTGACGGCGTCGCGCCTCAGCTTCGCTCCTGCTGTCCTCGTTCTTTATCGCTAAACTATGACTAGCATTCTGGTGGCAGGGCTCCAGGCCTACGTACACCTTGGACGGCTCGATCGCCGCGTCGGGTGGTAATTGACAACCGACGAGGATCCCCGCGTAACTGTCCACCGTCTCGCCCCATTCCTCCAGCCAAATCGTGGACACCAGTGCCTCCACGCTCACGGCTCTGCCTCGATCCTCCTCTTCGTACCTGGTTCAACAAGCAGCAGAAAAGAAAATTATTTGACGATCTGATAAATTTCTCGAATTAATTCTCGGTTAAGCGAGATCGAAATAGGCCGAGTGTTTCTTCTTTTTCTCCTTCTTTTTTTTTTTTTTTTTCTTTCATTAAAGCATAACCCGGTTTCGCGACTCGATTTGCATAATCGTTCGAATTATGAAAATCGACTGCTTTAATAACAGGGTATAAAGAAAATTTGGCGAAGAACTTTGGATAAGAAAGTTAGATTAAAGCGACCGCTCTCGAAGGAAAGGAAGCTGTCGTTAACCCAATAAAAAGCCGAAACGTTCTCACAACTTTGTTTCATAAATTTTTATTAATTATAAAAATATTTATACCCGAAATATTTTTAAATTCTCAATTTTTCAATTCTCTCTTTCGACGATTCCAAGATAAATTTAAAGAAAAGAAAAAAGTTCCAAGAAGAAGAAGAAGAAGAAGAATACGAAGATACAAGTAATATAGAATACGAAAGCAGGATCGGAAGGAGATCGGAGGGAGATCGGAGGGAGATCGGAGGGGAATCGAAGGGGCGAAAATGTCTCACCAAACGGTGCAGAAAAGGGCAGAGGTCGGCAGAGGTCCACGTTTAACGCCAATCACCCTGAGGCTTGGATAACCGGCCACTCTCAGGTCCAAGTGGGCGCTGTACAGGAAGAGCTGTCCAGGGATTGTCTCGAGCCACTTCTCGTCGGCTAACTTGAACGTATTTAACGTCGTTCCGTACGTTCCATTACCGTCGCACTCCTTGGAGGGTCTGTAATCGAGTGCCAATCTCCGCGCCCACGAGTAAGCCACGATGCTTCTTGTGCCCGGGGGTACGCCACCTGGAAAATGTGTCAGAGAGATTGAGACCGTGCGATAGTCGCGTGACGCATGCTACGCTCCGCTCATTAACAAGGAAGCGGCGGTGCACGCTTTTCGGCTAATTAATTCGAAGGAACGAGACTGGGAAGGAGGAGGAGGAGGAGGAGGAGGGGATACCGCTTATTAAAGCTACGTCGCGTGAAAGGCATGGCACCCATTCTCGATGTTCGAAGGAACCGGGAAATCTTATCCGCCCGTGGATAATTAGATTCAATCTGTTTAGATAATGTTTACGGATAAAATATTTTAGTTTAATTCTTCGAGTGTTACGCACGGTTTACGTGAGTTACATTCGAGCACGTGTGCGCGTATTCAAATGTAGGAAAATATTTTGTGTATTAATAACGCGATCATTAAGGAAGCTTTCGAATTTTTTCGACTGTAAAGATGGACGGATGATACAGTTAATATTTTAATTGTTGGTAATTACGTAATGCAACTGTATCCGGTGTAATCTTCATTAATACACGTTATTTTCCGTTATTTTCGTTTATATACGAGTTGGATTTTATTTTCGTCGGTAGTTGTATTGAAAGTAGAGACGCGTTGTCAACTGTACCAAATCGCTGGGAGCGATAATTATTAGTGACGTTCCCTATGAATAGAGTAGCAGCCTAGACGACGAGCATCTTAAACCGGACGGAAGTATTACGTCACGAACGAAGCCGGACGTCGTACGTATCGTGAATACGTTTACGTGTCAGTGGACGATCGTGCCACGTTCGAATCGTTCTCTCTCCTCTGTAATTTCTAACCAATATCCTTAATCCCTGCTCAGTCCCAAGAGACGTCGAAGCGCGTCACCGACCCGAACGCGCATTCGATTAGTTACGTTTACAGGATTTCAATTACCTCGTTTGTTAATCACCCTCTCTGGCAGCGAACACGGAACAGAGAAACTCGTTTCCCGCGTAAAAAAATTCGCAAACGATCAGGAGTCACGACCCGGTACGGTCACGTATTACGTATAATTTTAATTCCTTTTCACGAGACTCGTTTAATGGATTCAACGATGAAACATGTCGTATTCGTATCGACGCTTTCGCTCGCCTAGATTTTCTTCGTTCTTCCCTTATTATTATTTCAATATTATTAATCTAACAGCAGTTGAAAATCTTTCTTCGATCCCCGAAACTGTTTCGTAATTTACGACTACTCTAAAACGAGTCGCTATTCCACTCTATCATCGAAATAAATACGTTGACAATCGCTAACAAATCCATCCACTCATTACGAACATTAATCACCGTAACCGCAAAGCCCGAAAGGCAACGCGAACGACACGTTTATAGCCGATATTTCATTCCTTTCTTCGAACCCTATCACTCGCTTAATCACGCGTAAGCCTCCATTTTCCAACCATGTACTCGCGCGCCCATGTACGCATAAAATATCAATTTTCCGTTAATCCTCGAATCAAATTAAATCGATTAAATCCTCCTCTCCCATCTCGTGCGATCGTCTCTCGATCGCGTCTTCCTTTTTCCCCTCCCCTTCCCGTCCTCGTGCAAAACAATTTGTTCCGATCGAGCGGAACAACCGCACAGCCTCCATGCATCCTGCCCTTAAAAATTGTGTCTACGCTCGACCCTACAACGACCGCGTGTTGTGCCGATGCCAATCTTTCGCTTCCTCCTTTCCCTCGACACGAGACACCACGGTTCATTGGGCTTAGAAAGAGAAAGAGAAATCTTTTTCCGCGTGATTGATCCGGACGAGAATGAAGAGGTGACGGTGGAAAAATTGCGAAGAAAAAAAGCTCGTTTTCCGATACATGTTGGTGAAACATACACGCGACGGGCAAAAGTTTGTATTGCGCTTGAATATTTTTGCGAATAATTTCAGTTGGATGGTCGTAAATTATCATACGTATGTAAATTATATACGCTCAAGAGTCGTTTAAAATATATATACTGTTTTTTTCAAATCGTTGAACGAAACATATTCGAGGAGTATTTATATAGTCGTTCTTAATATCTTATTCTCGATTTTTTTTAGTCTCGATTATATAAATTTTCAGTAATTATTTCCAAGATTTAGAGTTTAAGAGGAGTTGGAGAAGAAAATGGTCGATGTGTACGCGGCATTACGTGGAAGTCGGAGAGCGAGATCGGTAGATGAATCGAGCTGTAAATTACGTCACCTAATGAAGTCGCTACCGCCAAGGAACCGTGTAAAGATTTGTGTCCACGATAAGCCCGTGTCACCGCACCGCGGTTGATTTATGGTCCAAGGTGGGGTGAGGTTTTTGCACGCGATTCCAGTCGACTCGATTTCGACGGTTTTCTCGTCGAATTACCTCCACCACTGTCGGTCCTCCGCTCAATGGAATAGTTGTTCTCCATTGATCTTAATCGGTCGAAACGATTTCGAAACGCGATTTCGCGGAATTAAATGCAAAAAAAAAAAAAGAAAAGAAAAAAAAAGAAAAAGAAAGAAAGAAAGAAAAGAAAAAGGAAATTCTCTCGCGATATTAAAATTGATTAAAAATTTAGAGGATTTAAATTTATCCGTCTGTACTCTCAGAATAGAAGAAAGTTTAGAATTCCTTAGGGGGATTCCAGTCGTTCGGCCACATTGGTCGTGAACCATAACGCTGAATCCACATGTTCAACTTCTCGCGGACGTTTCTCTTATTGGTTACAAACCGTAACGTATTATACGAGCCGCGTTGAATCCCTCGTCGAACAACTTATTCAAAGGGAATCCAGCGTGTAATTCGAAGAGAATTACGCACAAGCCTCGTTAGAATTGACGCGATTAAGCGTAATGGTCCCAACTATGAATCGATGGCCGGCGCGCTTGGAATTTTCCTATTCTTTGTCGGCCGCGTCCAACACTGGGAAAGTATTCGTAGATGGGAAATAGTAACGAACGGTAAAGTACAAATCTTCTCTGGGGACTTGGAACGAGAAGAAAATTATCACGTGAGAACGATCCCACTGTTGGAGGTTTCCTTTTCGTATCGATGAAAAGATTTCCTCGTCGCTTTTATTCTCGCTCCAACTTTTCTTCTTTTCCGTCGTGTCACTCGGGAATACCTTCCTCTGAAATTATGGCTGGTAATAAAATGTTTACGATTTCATAAAAACGGTGAATAATTACGCTACGACTCGTTACGAATGTATAAGAATGTGATGCGACATCGACGTCCCATAAAGTCGCATAATATTTTTAACAGAGAGACGAATTTATTAAAAGTCGGAGAAAAATATTTTTCCTTTATTCTACTTACGAATGACGAGATGTAGATAATGTCGAGCATTTCTTTTTCAACTTCTTCGAGATATTCAAACGTTACGCAATAATTAGAGAGAACAAAACAACGATTTTGATTCGATTCATCGATTCAAAATTGTTTCGTTCTCTCTAATCGAAGATCTTTAAAGAGAATCGATCGATAAAGAAAACCACGGAATATAAATTTCTCGTAGCTTTGATATACGCGTATATAGGAAACGATAAATAAATTGAAACGAGAAGCTGTTTCTCAATCAACGTGATCTCGATAACAAGGGAAAAAGAAATTTTAAATCGTTGAATAGAAAATTGACCGCGTAAGTTCTCGCGAAATATCGTTTCTCGAAGCAAGGGGGGCACACGTGTTTCTTTGGCAAATGAGTGTACAGAGAAAGAAAAATGGCCTACCCCGAAAAAAAAAAAAAGGATCAAGAAAAGATACAGACGTGTCTCTAATCGCTTGCCGTGTAACCTAAGATACGAAGAAAGGGGGAGGAGGGGAGGAAATAAAAGCGGGCATTGTTAGGTGGCAAAGGAGCTGCGGGTTGCGAACCGTTGAGCGATAACGAAAGGGCAAAGGTCGCGCGCTGCTGGAGGCGAAGGAGCGCGGGCAGCGGAGAAAATTGCTTACCAGGCGTGGGAGGAGGATCCGCCGGTGGATCCGGGAGTTGTGGCGGCGAATCGAGCAGAGTCAACACGCACAACGCTGTGACCAGCACCGCGATCAGGCCCACTCTGCACAGCCTCCTCGTTCCCGCGACCGACATATTTTCACTTCGTCCCTTCGTCCACCCCCGCGTGATCGGCCGGCCCCTCACTTTCGATGATCCACTTTCGATCACCTTCCTCCAAGCCTCGAAACGTTCTCGAGCCTATCCATGTCCCGCCAACGTTGATTCGCGCGATTCGATCCTCGATTGGGGATCCTCCCAAAGGATCGAGGAATCTCCTCCTCTTCGATGGATAAACAGATCTCTTTCGTGGAGAAGAAAGGAAAAAAAAAAAAAAAAAAAAAAAAAAGAATATGCTCGAGTCCCCCGTCCCCTCCGTTTGGCCTGGAATCGGCCTAGATTCGGGCCAAACGAGACGACGACGCGACGCGAGAGCAGGAAGCGTTTAACGTCATTTTCCGATATCTTGCACTATCTCGACAGGCATGCGCGAGGTTCAGGTTTCGAAACGTCACACGATCGTTGGCAGATCCGTTACAGGAATGAAATCGATATCCGCGCCCAAGTGACGCATCACTCCTCCTAGCTATCGCCTCGAATTCGCGGTGAATCGATCAGCGGGATCAGGCTTTTCTGGTTCACGCTGCTTTGCATAACACGCTCCGCTACACTTTCATCGCTCTTAACGCTTCTTCGCGCTGCTCTAATGATCCGCCAGAAGAATCGAACGACACACACATATCTATGTATACATATACATATATAAGTAGCGGACTGGTTCACTGGAATCGCGGAAATCTGGAGTTATAGGATGTGGTCGTAGCTTTTAAACGCGATGTTGGCGTGCGTAGTGGTCGTTCGACGTCCGAGATTGAAAGTTGGCACGCGATTCGACTCGACGCGTGGCTTTCCACTTTCCACTTTCCACGATCGACTCGAATCCTCGAAACGTCGAAAACTCGAATTATCTTTCTCCTCCTTTCTTCGTCCGGCTTTCTTTTTCTATCTTCTATCTTCTATCTTCTGTCTTCTATCTTCTATCGATGGAGCGATTCTGGAGGACGAACTCGTTTCTTCGCTCTCGAAATCTCGAAGATCGGCGATCATCGAGCGTACCGCGAATCGTCAGGGATGGTAGGTAGGGGTCTTCTCGGAAAAGTGATTCCCGCTCGTAGATCGACAGACCGGTACCAGAGCGTACGGGACGAGGCGCGCGACCAGCCTGTTTAATAGTCGCGCCCGCGTGTGTGTGGGTTCCCCCAAGGTGAGCACACGAATCTGTCCGTTTCCAAGCTGCGTAAAAACCAGCGTGGAAGCTGCACGACCTCCCACGCGACGCTCCCCCGCTTCTCTTCGTAGAAACGGTGGACCATGTATGGTCGCGTTGCCTATCCCTGCCGCTCCCCTCGCTCCCTCGATAATCTAATTAACCTGGTATCTCCGTCGCTTCCAACGTTTTTTGCTGCCGCCACCAAGTTTCTTCTGTGTCCCGTCAATCCTCGCTCCCCTATGCTTTGCTCGCCTTTTTACCTCTCTCCCTCTCTCTCTCTCTCTCTCTCTCTCTCTCTCTTCGTTTTCTTTTCGCTCGACAACCACCGTCTAGCTTCTTTCCCCGCCGCTTATTTGTACCACGGATCACGGGATCAATGGATCCGTCTCCAGAAGGGATCGTTATCGAGTCCGTGGACGGAGATGGAGGGACGCGTATCGCGATTCAGGCTGGCGTGACCATTCCAAATTCATTCGACATCGGTCGGGCTCGCCTTCCCCGGAACGATGAACGTGGAACGATGGTGATGAGATTGCGTTTCTTTGTCGCTCGATCTCTCGGTCGGTTCCCCCGACGCTTTTCGAACCGTGAGAACCGATCGCTTGATCGACGTCCCTATTTACCGACCGAACGAGGTAAAACGTTTCCTCTCCGGCCTCTTCGCTATTGACCACGCGTTCCGGTGCGTCACGTATCTGGAACAGTCCCTCCTAGTTAACCAACCGTTCCACAGAGTTTCAGAGGCGTCGTAATATTCGCGTCGCTTGCCGGCCACTCGTCCACTCCCGTTTCCCGTCTTCTTCTCGTTTTTATCGATCGACTCGTTTCCCGATCGGGACGAACGTCGACGGCCAGAACAACGCCACTTCCGCTCTTCATAGTCTAACGATCGGAGAGGATCTAAACTCCTTTGTTTTTCTTCCGACGACCACCACCACCACCACCACTTGGTAAAATCGTATTCCGTATTCACGGTAGCGGATCGCTTTAATGGAACCGGCACGTTGGGCGGAGCTGTGCAGCGAGGAGCGTTACAGTTTTATTAAAATTCACCTTTCTGCCTGTGGCCAGAACACCACGCTCCTCTCGCCTCTCGTTTCCTCGCCTCCTTTTATCGACCGGTCGTATCCTTCGCTTTTCCCACTCGCATCGCGATTGGAAAGTTGAAACTGGTATCGCCTCTCCCCGCGCGATCCATGATCATCGCGAGCAAGAGGAACGGTACGCGGGCTCGAAATTAATCCTAGATTAATACCCGCCGCATCGCGAATTATACCGTCGTTCCTCGATCAAATTTCCTCCTCGAGATCGTCATCCCGCCGTATTTAACAACCGCACGCACCTCCGTCCCCATCCTTCGTCGAATTAACACAACCGGGGATCGTTAATTACAATCACTGTGTACGATGTAATCTTCACACCTTTGTAACAATCCTTCTCCTCCGTTACGAACGAATCTTAACGACACACCTCGTCTCGATCCTCATCCCACCGGGAAAACGGGATCGCTCGTATTCGAGCGAAAGAGAGAGAGAGAGAGAGAGAAAGAGAGAGTGAGAGAGTGAGAGAGCACGTGGTCCACCCCCAAAAAACACAGCCGGTTCCCCGTGTAAACGTACGTGGGCGCACGTGGTCCGCGGATCGACCGAGCGGATTGGCGCAATCTCGCCTGCGCGAGAGTCCGGAGCGTACTGCGTACGAGCGGGAGGTGAACGCGCCACCAGAGCCAGCTCGAGTCCCGACGACTTTGGACCCGTTGCCTCGCCGTTTGCCAATGCGCCTTCCCATCCCTACTCGCCTCCTCGCCACGGCTACGACCTACCTCTTCCTGCCTCGTCGTCGTCGTCGTCGCGGCCGCTCCTCTGCCTAGCTGCTGCTGCTGCTGCTGCTGCTGCTGCTACTACTACTCCGTTCTGCTTCTCCTCCGAGGCCGGATAGTTAGTTGACTTTACCTTGTCGCAGCCTTGCGAACCACGCCGGCGAGCCTCCTTCGAGCCTCTGTTTTCTTTTCGCGTATTCGCGGTGCCGCTTCGACTTAAGATCCGCCATGAATTAACCGTGCGTCCATCCGATCCTCGTTTCATCCTCTCGTTTTTTCTTCTCACCGATCGAGTGCTTTCTCTTCAGCGGTTTCTCTGCTTTCTGATTGTAAGATGGCAAGGAAAAGTGTCCGATCGTTTTTCAACGCTTTCGTTTCGGAAGTTGGTGAGGTTGAAAGTGTTGGCTTGCACAGTTTCGACGGGATCGAAGTGATAAAAAAAAGTGAGTATGCAAAAACTACGCGCAACGAATTATCGGTCGATCCGAATTTTAATCTCCTTCGAGCTGTTGTAAACTCGACGGAGCAAGAAGCGATCCTGCAAATATTCTTTCCTCCTAAGAATGATGGTAGGAAAGAAAACACGTTAGACCGATGAATTTGGTAACACACCGGAGCTTGGAGCGCGCCCGTATACGCTTAATCGTTCCCGCTTTTTCCCATCCGCAAACAAACCAGGGGATCCTTTTTCCCTCGGTGTCCCTGGTGATCGACTCCTCTCCCCTCTCCAGCTAGATAGAGCTTAACGTATCTTTTTTCCACCGTCTCGCCGACCACCGTGAAGCCACTTGTTGTCGTACTTGTCAAAGCGTATTGCACGTTGACCGATGGCGGCAAACCGACCGACCGGGTTCATTCCCAAGACGTTCCTGTTGTTCGTGCACGTGAAGATGGCTCGAAGAGAGAGAGAGAGAGAGAGAGAGAGAGAGAAGGAACGTCGCGTACATATTTTTAACGTTAGAATAGAAAGCGAATGTTGGAAGATAGGGCTTGGAGGTAGTTGATTTCATTGGCCAAGGCAAATGAAATTCGTAGGTGCGAACGGTTTGGTGGAGCGGTTGCCGCTTAATGTTTGCTCCGCGAAAGAGACTGATGACTGCAAGAACGATTCGAGACGGTTGTCCGTGAGCGGCGTAATTATTCCGTGGCTACCCGGAGACGGCGGAGAGGATCCGTGTTTCAAGGGCATGGAAATTGTACTACCGCCATTAGGATTTAAATCCTGGAATTATACATTTCACGCGTACTTGCCTTACTTTCTTTTTTGTTGAAAATAATTAATGTTCGTGAGATATTAAAAAAAGAAAGGAAAAATCTGGTCAACAGAAGAGATTTAAAAAATTCTTAAGAAATTCCTCTCAAGAAACGTTTCGTATTCTTGATTTTTTCTCAAAAAAAAAAAAATCAAGTTCAAAGGCGATCGAAATTTCGAGTTTCAAAATAAATTGGAGGAAAGATTCGTTCTCTCGGCCAGTAAACAGTCCGAACAGCGAGTAATTCGAGAACAGAGTCGGCTTGAGATAGTGAGAACAAATGGAGCACCCTGTACGCGCAACCAGCGTCCATGCACGCGGACGCCAATTTATGAACTACACTAGAAAACAGGTCTAAAGCTTCTAATAAATGACGTTCATTCGAAGCATCAGATACGATCGTGTCATCAATCCCGGGTGAAAGCGAGAGGTAATTAATACGACATAAACGTAATCGATACCACGTACCATTTGCACGGTTTCATTTTCTGAATGAAAGAAGATATAACAGATGCAATTTCCTGGATCTGTCGTCCCTCCTCGATCGCCCGACGCGTACGTGCTCCCCTCCGTACGATACGATCGTAATCACTCGAAATGGGCCAGGAATTAACCAGTCGGGGATGCTGGTCTCGGGGAAATGAAAGGGCGTGATGCATAAATCATGAAACGGGAACAGGAGAAATCAATCAGACGCGAAGGGGAATCGATTTCTATGTTTGCAATTACACGTTGGTTAATAGATAACGTTTGCAAATGTCATACATCGTTTTCTTAAACTTAAAATTCTTAGATATTACGTATACACGCTCGTGAAACACGAATACTTTTTCTTTTTCTTTCTTTTCCTTTTTTCTCTCTTAGTTTTTATTTCGCAATTAATCGCATGGTATGCATACGTAAGAGAAAGAATAATAGGTTTGTTCTTGAGGCCTTGAAGAATCTTTTCAAAAATAGGAAGCATTTTCAAAGGAATTCGAAGAGCTAATGATTGGAATTTAAACGGATATTAGCAATTTCTTCCTTTAAATGGGAGACTGATATTGCATTATTATTACACCTCTAAATTTTTAAAAAAACTTCCAAAACGACACTTACAAAGAGACTTTACACCGTTCTTTCAAATAGAATACTTCTAACACCGGTTCTCGAATATCACTTTTCGAGAACTTTAAACTTTATCTCTTACGGAAAATATATAATATATAATCACGTAAATAAAGAAGAAAGAACGTCACTCGAGGTGCGAAATAAAACTAGCCCAAAGAATCTTCTGCCTTCCTTCCTTCGCCTAGCCTTTCTTACGCCTCTTATTTACAAGACGATAAGTAGAGTTCAACCAATAGGGCTCGGTCGCCTTGGCCAAGAACACGATTGCGTAATCGGGCTGGCGTAAGATCCGTGGGACGACGTGCGAAGAGGAATCGGTGACGGGACACTTGTTTCCGTTCACGGCGATGGTATAATGCACCACCGTGCGCGCACGAGAGAAAGGCGCGCGAGTCGCGTCAAAAGAAGCGGGCCGAAGCGGGCCGAGGCTGCCTCGTAAGAAAGACTGCACGCATCGGTGGAATACAAACGACAATCGTTCGAAACTTATTACAGCATGTAGAAGAAACTCATAAATGCTTATGACTTTCATCCATGTCTTTTTACGCCAAGCTTCGAGCGATCCAGTTAAAGGGTCATTGCGTTCTGATTGAGTTGGAAAGAGAAAGAAGAAGACGAATATAGGGATAAAGATTTGTTCAGATTAGTCGTGTCATTTGAATTTCTATCATTCGTTTCAAGCCCGAATATACTTTAACTCTTTCGATATTCGTCGTTCAAGGAGATTCAATCGTTGTTCGCAAGACGAATCTATCGCTTAAATAATATCATAAGAATCAGAATTTTCGACGGAAAAATTTCGAAATAAGCAAAAACGATGCGTTTCTCAATCGATCAATCATTACGATTTCAACGGTTTCTCTGAAACGAAAATAAACGAGATGTCGCACGTTCGCGTGATCAAACGATAATCGAAACACGGATATGATAATGAAAAATCGACCGATTCGACTCAACTTCTTCAACACTCGTTAAATCAACCGATCTTCCGCGTAACGAGAGCGAACTCGAGAGGGCGTTTCGACTCTAACGAGAGTCGCATCGCTTCCAATTTAAATCGAAATCCTCGAATCGGACGCGAACCCGGGACTAATCTGAACGAGGCTTAAGAGAGAGTTAAGAAGGGAAAGGAAGAAAAATACATAAGGCGAGGGGGAGGGGAGGAAACGGGTGGAAACGTCGGGGGAGAGAAAGGAAAGGACAGATGGAGAGGCGCAGATAAGAGCGAGGGAAGCGAACAAAAGGAAGAGAGAGCGGTCGCCGTGGCTTCTTCTCGACGTCATTTGTAATACCGAATGGCCTAATGATGGGACTGGTCGTGACAGGACGGGGAGTATAAAAGTGGAAGCGTGCGATTGCAAGGATTGAGCGCGGAGATGTCTGTCCGTACCTTCTTCTCTCTCTCTTGAGAGAGAGAAAAAAGAGAGAGAGAGAGAGAGAGAGAGAGCACGCTCGTTCAGCCGTGGCCGATGATTGTTAAGGGCCCAATCTCGGTGAATACTTGCAGGCGCATAATGGTGATTCGCTCGATCGTAGAAACGGAGGCACTCCACGCGACTTAATCGCGAGCAATTTTTGCACGCCGGTTATTACCGGAGGGAGTGATCGAAGGGAGTGCACTTACGAATACATATTATTCTTTGGAGAACGTATCAGGGGCTTCGAGTCGGTCGAATCGTTAGCGGAGCTACTTCATTACGATGTCAAGTTTTTTTTTTTCCTTTCCTTTTCTTCTCTTTTCTTTCCCTTTCTCTCCCCCGTTCACGGTTTCTCTTTGGTGAGGAGGTAGGTTAACGAAGAGTAATTTTACCGTCCTTCCGCGGGATACGTATTTTCTTGTATTTTTCTGATTAAACGATCGCAACGGCTTCCATAAATTTAGATGTTTCGCGCAAGAAATTCTCCGCAGAACGTGTGACCGGGAATGATTCCGTTCTTGTTTAACTTGCAATTACACGGTTACGGTTAATCTTTTCTTTTGCCCTTGGATGTAATTGCTCGCTCTGAATTATCAATTCATGGTGGTAAAGGAAAAGTAGATATACATGTATACATCGTCGTCGCGCAAGTAAGTTTTCACGCGTTGGAATTGGTCCAATCGAGATTTAACGAAATTGAACGTTTAATTAAGTCTTAAGAATTAAAAACGTGTTCTAAGAAAATGATTTCGAGAGACATGTAAATTCATCAGATCAGAAGAATTCGTGACGTTCTTTCTCAATTGTTCAAAAATCTTTCTTAAACTATTATCATCAATGTTTATTCACCTTCATCGTAATATATTACGATCTCTCGACGAGTTATAAATTATATGATAAAATTCGTTAAAAAAAAGGAAAAGTAAGAAAAATTTATCCTTACCGTTGACATGGAAGACTCGCGAGAGAAGCGGAGAAAACGAGCGTGAACGATCTTCGCGCAACGATCTTAGCGCCGAAACTCTGGTTACAACAAGAGGAACGCGATGAAACACGATGGCAAGCGTTATCGATTAAGAATATCAATTCCACTACGCACCGCGGGAGATCCGGTGTCGCGTAAATCTCTGGC